CTACCGCTGCCCCGAGCCGCAGTGCGCGCTGGCCTTCGCCCGGAAGCACCAGCTGCAGGTGCACCTGCTGACGCACGGCGGGCTGCGCGGCCGGCGGCCCTTCAAGTGCCCGCTGGACGGCTGCGGCTGGGCCTTCACCACCTCGTACAAGCTCAAGCGCCACCTGCAGTCGCACGACAAGCTGCGGCCCTTCGGCTGCCCGGCGGGCGGCTGCGGCAAGAAGTTCACCACGGTCTACAACCTGAAGGCGCACATGCGGGGCCACGAGCAGGAGAGCCTGTTCAAGTGCGAGGTGTGCGCCGAGCGCTTCCCCACGCACGCCAAGCTCAGCTCGCACCAGCGCAGCCACTTCGAGCCCGAGCGCCCCTACAAGTGTGACTTTCCGGGTAACGCGGGGGGCGGGCCCGGGGCGGGCGGGGGGACCCGGCGCCCCGCGCGGCGAGCTCACGTTCGTGGACCTCGAGTCGTGTCGTGAGTCGGCTTGGACGTACTCGGCGCTCGGCCTCGCAGGCCCCTGATGACCCGGGGCGCGGGGCACCCGATGGTCTGGCGCCCTTTCCGCCTCGCTCTGGTCGGCTTCCTAGTTTCCAGGAGTTTTTAAGCCGTTCCCTTGTCTACAGCTTAAACCTCTTTTTCGTCTCACAGATGGAGATACGAGGCTAGATTAGTGTGGATAAAGTAACCCACTGCCCGGTGGGTTTTTGAATAGGCTGTTGGGGTGGGGGTGTGAGAGTCCCACCCAGCGCGGCCCCACACTCCGGCGTCGGCACTTAGAAGGCCGAGTTCCCTCTGAGGCTGGCAAGGCAGGAGAGTCCAGAGGAGGCAGCGTGGCGGCGCCTCTGTGGAGGACGGGCCGGGAGGAGTGGGGTGGGGGCCACCGTGGATTGGCTAGAGGACCTTCGCTCATTAAAACGCGCCTGAGTGCCTAGAGCATGTCATACAAGCCCCTCCTAATAATGTGAGTCACCAGGTGCTCAAACACAGCATTTTGAGAGTAACTCGAAAAACATCAACAGATTCTAATATTTTCTTCCCCCTTGTGGGTGGATTGTGTGGTTCTGGAGAGCACTGGGCCACTGTCTGCAGACCTTTTCTAGTCAGCTTGTGAGTCTGGTAGGAAGAGTATCGTGTTCTCTAGCAGAGTCGAGGACCCAGTCATGAGGTGTGTTAGCCACTGGTGCAGCTGGTAGAGAAGCTGGAGAGGAGCAGGTGATGCAGTAAATGGCCCAGCTTGAGTTTTTGGACAGCCCGAGCCAGGGAGTAGCAGTGGGATTGGGTGGTGGAGTTACAGGTAGAAGAAATCACAGAGGTAGCGTGAGAAGGCCTGGGTACCTGGGGGAAGGGGTGTTAAGGCTAGGAGTGTGGTTGTTCAGTTCACATGACCAATTGTGTAAACACACAAAGGCCCAAAATAGGAAAGGGGTAGGGAGGGCAGATTGAAGCCAGAGAGGATAACTTCAGTGACTTAGAAAAATCACCATTTCTCCACAGAATGCTGTCCTCCCCTCAGGGGGAGAGTAGGTTCTTTGCAGTGCTGTGCAACAGTGTATTTCTGCATGGTGGTTCATGGGCCCCCTTGTAACATGGAAGGCTCCTTTCAGCCTGATTTTCCACATTGCCTGAGCACTGATTGTTGTCATAAAGGAGAAGTGTTAGTATGGACAACCAGCCATTGCTGGAGTATAGGTGACCCAGTAGGAGCTGAGTTTGGAGGTGAAGGAAAATGCTAGCTGGGTGATGATGACAGACCTGAGGAAAGAGAAGCCAGCTGGGTAGGATGCGAGGCAGTTCCTTTCAGAGGCTGTCGGAGGAGACTGAAGTGTAGGGAATGCAGCATCACTCGAAAGGTTAGGATGCTTCGCACCTGTTTACAGCTCAACTGTACCAGACAAAATTTTGTTCTTGTAGTATTTTATTTCTCTCCTGGGGTTTTCTTGGTTTTCACAAACAGCATTGACATTTATGTTTATGAAAAATCCACTTAATGTGTGTGAGAACAGCCAAGCGGACGGCTGAGACTGGAGCAACACTTGATCGCGTGTTCCCTCCCAAGTTAGTCACCTTGCAAGAAGTAGCCTGTGTGCACCTCAGGCCTCACAGCCGCTCCTGCTTGGCTATTACAGAGACCTTTTAGAAAGCACTCACTTCCCTGGCTGTGACTAGCATTGATTGCTTTGATTTTTGTCTTCTGGTGAGCAGGGTTTGTGCTTCCTCCATTCAGGCTGTGAGAAGACGTTCATCACAGTGAGTGCCCTGTTCTCCCATAACCGAGCTCACTTCAGGGAACAAGAGCTCTTTTCCTGCTCCTTTCCTGGATGCAGCAAACAATATGACAAAGCCTGTAGACTGAAAATTCACCTAAGAAGCCATACAGGTAGAAACCTGGAGAACAGAATCCTTTGGAGCCACGATTTGTCTCTAGGAGCTGTTGCAGTTATACTTATTCTCTGTAATTTTTGTTTTTTCACAAGGTGAAAGACCGTTTGTCTGTGACTCGGACAGTTGTGGTTGGACCTTCACTAGCATGTCCAAACTTCTAAGGCACAAGAGGTAATCCTTACATTTTGGTATGTATTATCAGCTTTGAAAGTTAATGAGTTGTTAGTAGTAGAAACCTATTAGATTTTTTTTTAGATTATTATAAAGAAACACAGTGTAGATTCTTAGAAAACTGGAAAATTATAAGAAGAAAATTGCTAGAATCTCCTCACTTAAAGACATTGGGGTTTTTTTGTTTGTTTGTTTTTTGGTCAGTCGTGGGGCCTGAACTCTTGGCCTAGGCACTGTCCCTCAGCTCTTCAGCTCAAGGCTAGCACTCTACCACTTGAGCCACAGTGCCACTTCCAACTGCTTATGTGGTGCTGAGGAATTGAGCCCAGGGCCTCATGCATGTGGGGCAAGTGCTCTACCACTGAGCCACCTTCCCAGCCCCAAGATACTGTTTTTAAATGCTTTTTTGTAGTCTACTATTGTGGGGTTTTACAAGTGTTTTTGTTGTTGTTGTTGTTTTGCCAGTCCTGGGGCTTGAACTGTCAGGGCCTGGGGCACTGTCCCTGAGCTTTGCATTCTACCCTTTGAGCCACAATGACACTTTTGGCTTTTTTTGTTTTCTGTTTCAATGCTGAGGAATCCAACCCATAGCTTCATGCATGCTAGGCAAGCACTCTACCACTAAGCCACCTTCTCAGCCCTGTTTTTTGTTTTTTTTTGGGGGGTGGGGTAGGGTGGGGTGGGGCTTGTTTGGTTGCTATTTTTGTTTTTGAGTTGGCATACTTTACATACAGTTCCAGCTTATTTTTTTCTCTCAAATGTCATAGAATAAGCTTTCTCAAGTCACTGCAAACCTTCAGGGGCAGCCTTGGGACTCCACTGCATGCACATCTCAGCTCACCCCACACCTCTGACACTACATTTAGTTTTCTAAATGGAAAAGACAGTCTTTCCAGGTTGGCTTAAGAAGGCCCTTTGGCATTGCCGCTGACGCTCTGTGTGCCCTTCTTGGAGTCCTCTGGCTTGGAAAGCCTGTTATAGGGAAACAATAGGAATAGACTCATCAGTGCATTCGGGACCCGCTCTTCCTAAGTTGAAGCAGCACTAATTGTTCTGTGTCTCATTATGGATCCACTGAATCATTAAAGTAGAATTTCTAATTATGAGATGGCTAAATTACCAACCTCATATGAACTGAAGATCAAATAAAGTTTTTTCCGAAACAAACTGATCATATTTTAAATGGAAAGCACTTATAATTTTATATGTTTTGCAGAACATTAAGCGAAGAATCACCTCAGGCCCCATGAGCTGTGTGAGTAATCATTGCCCCTTTGTTTTTATTCCTGGCAGGAAACATGACGATGACCGCAGGTTTACCTGCCCCGTCGAGGGCTGTGGCAAGTCCTTCACCAGAGCAGAACACCTGAAAGGCCACAGCATCACCCACCTGGGCACAAAGCCATTTGAGTGTCCTGTGAAAGGTAGGGTTTAAATGCCGCAGTGAGCTATGCCCTAAGCACCACCCACACTCACGCTAGAGTTTATGTTGTTTCAAGGTAACTTCAGTTATGTAAAGGTAGTATGGTTTATTTGCTGAGTGGATCAAGCATACTGTCTTAGGACCAGTATATTAGAAGGATTGCAGGTAGAGAATCCTGTCTCCTGTGCCCTATGCTCATCCCTGACTCTCCCTGGCCATGGCTCTCCTTATGTTACATGTGTAACCCAGGCTTTGGGGGTTCTCAAATGTCTGACATTTAGCTTGAACTTGCTAATTAGTAGGTAGCTACTCTTGTGTCAGGTAGGTAGTGGTAAAGCCAGATTGGCTTTTTTTCCCACCTTTTTTTAAATTGTTACAATAAAGGTGATACACAGAATGGTTACAGTTACATAAGTCAGGTAAAGAGTACTTTCTTTTTGGACAATGTTGCCCCTTTCCTCACTCTCTAGATTAACTTTTTAAAAAGGTGGGTAGGAGTTTTTCTTTAGGATGCTGAAGGCACAGCTCATTTACCAGGCCTGCTGTGACCTGTGGGTGCCCACCCTAGCCGCCGTGGTGACCTGAGCTGCCACCCAGCCCCAGTGCCTTTAACTGGAGGAGGGGATAGTAAAGATCCACGTAGAGCTGAGACTAGCTCCTAGAGTTCAGCAAATGTAATATAAACAGTGGACCCAACCTGCAGTTCCTCCCCTGTCAGCCTTCCAGCTGGGTGTGAGCAGGTGGTAGACAGGAGCATGCAGGCCATAATTGGGGCACATAGGACTCCTGGTACTGCTCTGGGGGAAAGAGCTAGCCAGGTGCTGACAGATGGTGCTGTATATATAAACTGTGGAAGTAGATGGAATTCTTAAGGGACAGTAAAAGTCAGACAGTAACTAAACACGAGTTCTAGATTCATACTATCTGGACTCAAATCCCAAGTCTGCCACCCTACAAGGCTTCTAAGGGGCCTGGTACAAGTAGCTTGAGCTCTGTTCCTCTTTACCTTGTAGGATTGTTGTGAAGGTTCAGTTGGTAGAAAACGTGAGTACATGTCAGTTCACTGTTGTTTTGATTGTTGTTTTTTATTTGTTCCCATATCAGGTGTAAGCTTAGGGCCCCACATTTGCTTGCTTAGCTGGCTCTACCACTTCAGCCATACTTCAGCCAAACTTTTTGTTGGTTATTTTGGAGATGTAGTCTCTCAAATTTTTTTCTGCCTGGACTGGCCTTGAACTACAGTCCTCCAGATCTTAGTCTCCTGAGTAGCTAGTATTGTAGGTGTGAGTCACCAGAGCCTGGATTTTTTTTGGGGGGGGGGCAGTGTCGTGGGGCTTGAACTGTGGTCCTGGGCGCTGTCCCTCAGCCCTTCAGCTCAAGGCTAGCACTCTACCACTGAGCAATAGCACCACTTCGGTTTTCTGGTGGTTGATTGGAGATAAGAGTCTCACAGACATTCATGCCTGGGCTGGCTTTGAACTGTGATCTTCAGATCTCAGCCTCCTGAGTAGCTAGGATTATAAGCATGAGCCACCAGCGCCCAGCGTGCCTGGCTTTTTAAGCTTAAGACAAGTTACAACCCAGGGTAAAGTGAGACCTTGTTTCAGAAATAACTATCACATGGACACCAGAGCCAAGCCCACACTGCGTGTGAAAACAGGTAACTGGAGGGCCCTACCAATTGCCAGGCCACTCTTGCATGTTGATCCTCTGCCTGGCATGGGCCCTGACCCTTCTTCAGGCCAGGAAGAGTCCAAGAGTAGAGGATGGATTGAGAGCTTCGTGATTGGTTAGGTAAGCCAATTCCATCTGGGAAAGAGCACTGGTTGAGTTCTTAGTGGGAAATAAAGGTGAGTCTTTTTCAGCTTGAAAGTCAAAATTTAACCAGGTGCTGGTGGCTCACACCTATATTCCTAACTACTTACTAGGCAGCTGTCTGTCTACTCTTGTCTGTCTCCAGAGACTGGAGAAGATGTATGTGCCCATAAATGCTAGGCAATACTCTGTGTCTTCCTCCTCCTACATAATTTGGAACATTTTTTGTTTCTGTAATTTCTTTGTGATGGGTTGCAGAAGGCTGAATGTCCCATTTAGGTTTGGATGGACAGCTTAGAATACAGGTTTCAATACCCTTGTATGTGCTTTGAAAGAAAGATAAAGAATGGAAAGTAAACTTGATATATAAGCTTGTATCCAAATTTCAACCCAATGATGATGGCTTTTGAGATATGACTTTGCCTAGAAACTACAAAGAGTCTTCCAGGCTTCCATTTTGCCCATTAGAGAAATGGTCGGTGTTAGAACAAATCATGTTAAGTGAGGTAAGCCAAGCTCAGAGATACGGATGGCACGTGGTTTTCCTCATATGCAGAAGCTAGGTCTAAAATACATGATAAATTATACAAGTCTCTAGGCATTCACACACAGTAAGGCCAAAGGGTGATATACTCTTTCTTTTTTTTTGTCAGTCATGGGGCTTGAACTCTGAGCCTGGGCTCTGTCCCTCAGCTCTTCAGCTCAAGGCGAGCACTCTACCACTTGAGCCACAGCACCACTTCCGGTTTTCTAGTGGTTAATCGGAGATAAGAGTCTCACGGACTTTTCTGCCCAGACTTGCTTTGAACCGTGATCCTCAGATCTCAGTCTCCTCTGTAGCTAGGATGACAGGCGTGAGCCACTGGCGCCCGGCAAAGGGTGATACTCTTGAGAGAAACACAAGGGACATTGCCTTTGTGTGTCTGATAAAAATAATGCTATGTCAAGCTGGCCGTTGGTGGCTCACGCTTGTCATCCTAGTTACTCAGGAGGCTGAGATCTGAGGATCTTGGTTCAAAGCCAGCCTGGGCAGGAAACTCTATGAGACTCTTACCTCCAATACCACTGAGAAAACCAGAAGTGGCACTGTGGCTCAAGTGGTAGAGCACTTGCCTTGAGTTGAAGAGCTGAGGGGACAGCACCCAGGCCCAGAGTTCAAGTACCATGACCGACCAAAAAAAAAAAAAACTTATGTAAATAACTCTAGGGAATGGAAAAAGTAGATTTAAAATAAAAATAATTATCACAAATAAGAGCTGGAGTTGTGGCTTAGCACTAGAGCACATCTCTGGAAAGTATGAGACACTGAATTCTAACCCAAGTACCAACAACAACAACGGAAATCCAAGACTACATTTCCCACGATTGTAGATTGCAGAGAGAAGCTTAAGGTGATGTTTTCTGAGATCTTCTGTATTAAGTATAATTTCACCTTCCCATGTTGTCTTAGCCAATAGTAAGACTAGATTGTCTACCATAGTCTGTGATCAAGACCCTAATGATAAGTGATTCCTCAATTATTTATTTTTTGGTGCCAGTATTGGGGCTTGAACCAAGGGCCAAATACTCTTGCTTGGCTCTTCTGCTCACAGCTCTAGCACTTGAGCCATACCTCCATGTCTAGCATTTTGCTGATTAATTGGAGATAAGAGTCTTAAGTCTTCCTGGCTTCAAAAGCCAGTCCTTAGATCTCAGCCTCTTGAGTAGCCAAGATTACAGGCATGAGCCACCAGCACCTAATGGTTCCAATGGTTCCTGAATTTTTAATTATCTTTAGTTGTAAGAAATAAAATCTGCTGTGGTCTCCTGGTGCTGGTGGCTCATGTCTGTACTGCTAGCAACTCAGGAGACTGAGATCTGAGGATCACAGTTCAAAGCTGAGCAAAAAAGTACCTGTGAGACTCTTTTTTTTTTTGGATCTGGTTGTGGGCGTGAACTCTGGGCCTGGGGGCTGTCCCTCAGCTCTTCAGCTCAAGGCTAGTGCTCTACTTGAGCCACAGCGCCACTTCCCACTTTCTTTTTCTGCTTATGTGGTGCTGAGGAATCGAACCCAGGGCCTCATGCATGCAAGGCAAGCGCTCTACCACTGAGCCACCTTCCCAGACCCCCACCCCCTCCCGTGAGACTCTTATCTCCAATAAACTACTCAGAAAAAGCTAGAAGTGGCACTGTGGGTCAGTTGGTACAGCACTAGCCTTGAGCACAAAGAGGCTCAGGGACAGTTCCCAGGCCCTGAGTTCAAGCCCCAGGACCAGCAATTAAAAAAAAACTGCTGTGGATCACAGTGGTGTAACTCCTGTGGACAACTAACTTACAGTCTAGCTGAAGCATGTTTTTTCAGGGGAGAGGGACAGACAAAGAAGCTGCTGTGCCCAGGGCCTAATGGGGCTATTATAAGAAAATTGACTGTAAATTTAGGCCAGAATCAGAGAAGTAAGGGCCTTGACTGCCTCCAGTTTCATTTCAAATGAGGCTTTGTGATTTTCCAGGTCATGTGTGTGGATAGCTATAGCTTTATTTGACCCTGTCATAATCCTTTAAAGTATTATCCTCATTTTACAGGAAGGAAAAAGAAGTTCTGGAAAGGATAAACAACTTGCCCCAGGCCCCACAGTTAGCAGATGGCCAGCTGAGCCGAGCCACCTGCTAAGCAGCTCCCTCTGCCCGGGGTCTGCTTAGGGGCGGCACTTGGCATGCACCAGGGACAAGTCCTTTCACTGCCCCCTGCTCGTGAGACCTGGCCATGAGCAGGGCACTGGCAACAGGAAAGGAGTTGGTTCCTGGGATGGTTGCCACTCTGAATGTGGCAGTGTTGATGGTAGTACAGTTTTGTGACGTGTTTAGATGCATCGCAGGCAGTTATGAGGTCTGATAGTCACACTGAATCTTAGATGTTGCTGCTGCATGGCCTCACTCCCTGTGGGTTCATTCCTGTCCTGTGGTGTTCCTCCTGTGGATGTTTGGTGGACACCCTCGCCAGCACCAGTGCTGGGGAACACGTCTTGTCATCCTGACCTGACTAGGAATCGTCCTTCCTCACCACTCCCCCAGCGCCCTCAGGAGTAACACTTTCCCCTTTCTGTTTCAGGGTGCTGTGCTCGCTTCTCAGCTCGCAGCAGTCTGTACATTCACTCAAAGAAGCACCTGCAGGATGTGGGGGCTCCAAAAAGCCGCTGCCCTGTGTCCAGCTGCAGCAGACTCTTCACCTCTAAGCACAGCATGAAGGCACACGTGGTGCGGCAGCACAGCCCGCGCCCAGGTCTGTGCCTCCCTGTGCCTGCGGCCGCAGGGACGTATGCACTGAAGCCTGTGTGAGGGAACAAATGCTGTTCCTCACCCCCCAGCACTGGCAGCTGGCATTGCCTGCACCTCCTTTCCTCTCATGCCACTTTCTTCTGCCCTTACTCTTCTGTCCTTCCCTCTTCTCCCTTGGAGGACATTCAGTCTTTACGTCCTGAGCCTGCCCGAGCATTAGGCTCTAACCTGTCTCCCACTGGGGCTAATGTCCTCCAGTGTTTCCAGCATCTTCTCTCATCTTTCTGCTTCCTACTGTCTTTCTTAGTCTTGCAGGAAGTAGATTCCAGACTGCAGTGGTCTAGTTCTTCCAGGAGGCAGGAAGCCTTCCAGCCCAGCGCCTTCCAGGCAAGGCACTGAGAACTAGAGGAGGAGGAGGAGGAAAGACACTGCCACTGTAGTCCAGACACGTGAAAAGGGAGGGTTCTGAGCATGAGAGGACCTGCTGTTTGGCCCCCTGCGGCCTGGGACTTAGAAGCCTCGTCCATGGTCCTCTGGGCAGTAGCAGTGGCCATCTGTCCCCTAGAGCACTCCAGAGACCCTGCTCTCTGGGGTATGGTAGGGTTTTGCTGTGGTAGGATCTGGCTGAGGAAGTCCTGGCCAGCTGAAGAGGTAATTTAAGCTCAAGTCTGTGGAGACCAGTGAGTCTAACTCAGCCCTCACTATGGCCTGGAGGCATGGCGGAAGCACAACAGCCGCCACAGGCAGTTTCTTCCCAGTTGAAGTTCCTGAGTTGGGAACCAGTAGCTGAGGGAACGAAGTGTCTTGCAAAAGTACCTCTTGCAGAGTTGTGACGTAAAGTGTCTCCTAGTGCGGAGTTCTGATGTGCAGTGCCTGGGGCAGAGTTCTGATGTTAGATGTCTGTCTAGTGCGGGGTTCTGATGTTAGAGTGTCTAGTGCGAGGTTCTAACATTAGAGTGTCTAGTGCGGGGTTCTGACGTGATAGTGTCTAGTGCGGGGTTCTGACGTGATAGTGTCTAGTGCGGGGTTCTGATGTGAGAGTGTCTAGTGCAGGGTTCTGACGTGAGAGTGCCTAGTGCGGGGTTCTGACGTGAGAGTGTCTAGTGCGGGGTTCTGATGTGAGAGTGTCTAGTGCGGGGTTCTGACGTGAGAGTGTCTAGTGCAGGGTTCTGATGTGGCATGTCTAGTCTAGTGCGGGGTTCTGGTGTGGCATGTCTAGTGCAGGGTTCTGATGTGGCATGTCTAGTCTAGTGCGGGGTTCTGATGTGGCATGTCTAGTCTAGTGCGGGGTTCTGATGTGGTATGTCTAGTCTAGTGCGGAGTTCTGATGCTACAGTGCCTAGCACGGAGTTCTGTGCGGGTGGAGCTCAGTGAAGGTTTCTGTCTGTCCTCTTCTTCATTTCAGTGACACTTGGACAGTTCTCAGCAGTTGCCGTTCTGCCTTGTCCTTGAAGAAGTTCCCTGGTGGTTATCGTAAGGATGGGAATGCGTGCCTTGCCTGAGGCAGTCGGTGTTGTAGTTGCTCGTGCAGGCCTCTGTCCTCGGGTCCCTCTCTCCACCTCTGCCTGTACTCTCAGATACCATGGCTCACAACGTCCTTTCCTCTCCCTTGTTCTAGCCTGACCGGTACAGGAGCTGACGGGCTCAGCGCTGCTTAGATGAGCTCACTTTAAACTCTCCGGCTGTTTGTGAGCTCTCCTTTAATAACACCCTGTGCGCCCCAGTCTCACGCTTACGCTGTACTGCCTCTTGCCAGCTGTCGGGGCAGTCAGGAACTCTCAACACCTGCTTACTGTGGGGTTGCACCAGGCCCTTAGGTTCAGTGCACCTTCCTGGTGGCCCTGTTCTGATGTCTGGACAAAGACCAGGGTCACAAGAGTAGGAAGGACCTGAGCCCGGACCTGAGCTGGGATCTCTACTCGCATGCCTGTGACCCTCAGCATTTGCTCTTGATGCTCTTACACCGTTTGCGTGGTGTCCATGTGTGTGTCCTTGCACATGTCAGCTCTCTAGGTGACGTTTATGGAATCAATAAGTGGCTGGGTAAAAAATTAATATAAATTGGTGACCTTGTTCACACTGAGATTGTTCTTAACTTCACCCTCAGTTGAATCCTCAAGGTAGTTTTTGAATAAGTGATAGGTTTACAATTAGAATTTCTCAAAAATATTGCTACTTCTAAAATGCTCCATTATTTATTTATGAAATTTTTTAATGTGACAACTAAAAAAGTTCTAAATTTGATTCTTTTTTTGGTTTTGTCTAGAGTAGATTACAGCATGCATCTAAGTGGTTATCTGCCTTTGGAAAGTAGAAGTTGGTGGTTAGTGAGAGTTGGTGTGGAAGGAGCAGAACCAGAAAGCTCCTCCTGCCACAGTTGAGCATCAAAGCTTTGTTGGACTCTGCCCTGGCTCATTGTGTTCCAATTATGTTTGCTCAGTGCTTACATCTTTCTTTCAGTTTGGGGTACTTGACACGTATGTGTCGATAAACCTCATCTAGAATGTTCATCGGTGTTTTTTTTTCCCCTGGTACTAAGGAATTGACCAGAGCCTTGGGCCTAGATAAGTGCTCTACCCCTTGAGCCATGTCTTCAGCCCTAAAACTTTTTTTTGCCGGTTGTGGGGCTTGAACTCGGGGCCTGGGCACTGTCCCTGATCTTGTTTGTATTTAAGGCTAGCGCTCTACCATTGGAGCCACAGTACCACTTCCAGCTTTTTCTGAGTAGTTTATTGGAGATAAGTGTTTCATGGGACTTTTCTGGTGGGCTGACTTCAAACTGTGATCCTCAGATCTCAGCCTTCTAAGTAGCTAGGATTATAGGCGTGAGCCACCCTGCCACCCTAAAACTTTTTGAAGTATATTTATGTTTGTTATTCTCCCAAGGGTTTTCTGGTTATTCAGAGTGGTTTATTGAGTAATAAATAATTATTTCAAAGGCTCCTGCTGAAGAAGGGTTTGTTAGAACTGTTTCTGTAATCCCCTCATTTTGAGTAAGGGCCTGGCACTGCTGGGTGCTACTGGAGCAGGTGAGTCAGACTAACTCTGTGAGAAGGGAGGGAATTAGAGGCTGGACCTGTGATGGGAAGGGGGCCCGTCTTCTGGGCACCTGAGAAGGCCTAAGGTCTGTGCATTTGCCTAGAACTGAAGCTTTCCACTCAACCAACCTTATTCTCCTTGATTTTCCCGAGATGGTCCAGAGAAATCCGTGTGGGCCTGAGGATTTGAAGCGCCTAACCTGTCTTCAATCATCCCTTTTCCTATCATCCATCAGTTAGTTGCTAGTACTGTGCGACCAGTGGGATGTTTGGGATAAACGGTAGAGTCCAGAGGACGCAGAGCCAGTGTTGACTTGAGGGGTTGCATGCTAATTCCGTGAGATTCAGCAACATTTCTTAATCCTTTGAGGTCCTGAGTAATTGGAATATTCGTTCCTTTTGCAGATCTCGTACCTCAGCTGGAAGCTCCAAGTTCCCTCACACCTAGCAGCGAGCTGAACAGCCCCAGCCAAAGTGAGCTCAGCAACATAGACCTAGCAGCTCTTTTCTCTGACACACCTGCCCAAGGGAGCAGCTCAGCAGGTGCGTCAGACGAGGCACTGAACTCTGGGATCCTGACCATTGATGTTACTTCTGTGAGCACCTCTCTGGGAGCAAGTCTCCCTACAAATAATAGTTCCTTAGGGCCCATGGACCCTCTGGTTCTGGTGGCCCACAGTGATATTCCTCCAAGTCTGGACAGCCCTCTGGTTCTTGGGACAGCAGCCACAGTTCTCCAGCCAGGCAGCTTCGGTGCAGATGAGGTACAAGCCATGAGCTCAGGAGCAGTAGGCTGCTTGGTGGCTTTGCCAATGAAGAACCTAGCTCAAGACACATCCGTTTTGACCTCCACCAGTAACTTAGTACCTGTCACCACACCAGCCTCTTCAAGCACCTCCCAAGAGACTCTCAGTGTTCCAGAACTGCTGGCTCCAATCAAGATGGAGCATGACTCACTTCCTGTCCCCACGGTGGCCAGGCAACATGAAGAAAGTCAAGTGCTGCCCCTGTCTGTGCTCTCCAGCCCAGCAGAGGGGCACAGTGCTCAGAAAGACACAGCGCCCGGTGCAGGCACCGGCCTCCTCTACTTGGTATGAAGCACTCTGTTCAGTCCCCAGCTCATAGCTCACTTCTGTCACTCAGTTCTAAGGATACTGGGAACCAAACCTTTCTATGCAGACTCTCCTTACTGGTTTGCAAAAGGACAGAGCCCTGGGCTATAAGTCTGGAAATCTGGAACTGACTAATGACCTTGTGCAAATCAAACTATTTGAGCCTTAAATTCTCAGTTATTTCTAAAATAAGGGGATTTGGCTACATGTCTTTTAAGGTCCCTTCTAGTTGTGTGAATCTGTGACAATGTGTTTTTTTGAAAATTCTTGGTACATTTCATAATGTTGAAATGTTTTCTCTCTGTGCGCTTTACATAATGACAAGTCGTAAAAGAGGAAGAATTGTAGCATAAACTAAGGTTCAATGAAAAATTTTAAACATGCCAAAATATTTTTTTTAGTTAGAATTATAAAAAAGGTTAAGTGATATATGTGCCCTTGATCTTGGAGAGTTTTAGACGACTATTCCAAGATTGAGGCTGGACAGTTACTACAATCGTATTTATATCAGCGATACATTTAATGTAATTTAATGATTCTTGGAGAGAATTTTGCCTTTCCTAAGTCTGCAGAGGAAATGATCATGCAGGATCTGCCTTTGTGGTGTGGCTAGATTTTGTGGGTGACAATGTTCTTAAAATGTTCACTCATATTTTCCTACACCTTAAAATGTTAGTCTTCCGTGTTCGGATCAGGTGTGAAGGGGACTTAGTAACTGGTCTTCTTTGGAGCCAGCCTCCAGTTCTTCTTTGAGAGAAGCATAGTCTCTCTGATCCCAGCTGCTAGCCTGTGGCAGAGGCACACTTGCTAGCATGTGCTTTGGCTCGCTATGTGGTTGAAAGGCACCAAGTGGCTAGCAGAGATGGAAGGTCAGAGCTGCATAGGAAGCCAGTCCCCTGCACTGGATCCTTGGGAACCAAGCACTTGGGCCTAACTGTGGGTGGAGAAAGAAGAGCTCATGGGAACTCAGTCTTCACCCCTTGTCCATTGTCTCGCTAGCTGTGTGATGCTGGGCTCCCTAGCTTCTCTGAATACAAATGGTGTGTAGTGAATGGGTTACAGGTATGTCCTGAGCTATAGAGGGCTTTCTTTTCCTCTCTGGTGATAAGAATGAAAGTCTTATTCTTATGAAGTGTACACCAATTTCAGCAGTTCACTGTTTGGATACTGTTTGGCTCCCTGAGTCAGCTAGCTGAATTCGGTGACATGTTTACTCTTTGGGTGTGGGAGAGAAAGATGGAGTGTGGCCTCTACCATTAACACCTCCCTAGTTGCTGGTCAAGGTTGTGGACAGTGCGAATCCTTGGGGCAGGCTGTCATGACTTAATCTTAGCACTAAGGGAAGCCCGTGTACTGAAAAAGTTGGGAAGTAAGCAGTTTATTTTATAATAGTTTTAATGTAAAATATTTTAATACAATTGAGATTTTGGAGAAATAAACTTTAGTTCTCCAGATAATGAAGCTCTGTATGTTGTTCTCACTCTGCAGCTGAATGTAGTGTTTGTCTCTTGCCTTTGGTGGAGGCGCTGATGTGATTACTGGAGCTCCAAGGTGTTCCAGAAGCAGGCTTAAGACATTTCTGTAGCTCCCTTGCTGCCTTCCTTTACTGTGTAGATCAAGTGACTGACACGCTTTTCTTTGGTCCCAGGAGAGTGGGGGCTCAGCAAGAACTGATTACCGAGCCATTCAACTAGTCAAGAAAAAAAAGCAGAAAGGAGCTGGGAGCGATGCAGGTGAGGCTGGGCGCTGCAGTGCTGGTGCCCAGGGGCTGCGTCTCTTGTGTCATGCTCAGGCCCAGGAGGCACTCGGAACAGGCATTTGCATATTCTTGGTTTTATGCTCAGAATGTCCTTTTGTCAGCTCCAGCTCTGTGTGGGCTTAAGATAAACAGTAACCAGATCGCCAGCCTATGTGAACATGCTTGGTTTACCAACAGCTCTGTGCCAGGTAGGGCTTCAACCCCAGGTGTAAGTGGCCCAGAAGGGTTCCAAGATAAATGAGGAGGCCATGTGTCTGTCAGAGGGGTCACTGAGTGGCAAGCCAGCATATTCATCTAGCATGGTGGCTCCAGGTTGGTGACAGATAGCCAGGGTTACAACTTAATAATAAAACAAGTGGGTCAAGTAAAACCTGCTCATCTGTAGCCTTATATATACACACACCCATCCCTTCTGAAAATTAAATATGGGACACAGTCTTAAAGAAAACTGGAAAGCCATTTTGAAATATTGTTACTTCAGTATATTATGTTTGATATATTCCAATCATCTCTTACATTTAAAATTTAATGGGTATGTAGGATTGGGGTTTAATTTTATGTCTTGTTTCTATTCTTAGCGATATGATAGCTTATTATTTTAAATAACTCTAGGCCAGGCTCTCACACCTGTAATTCTAACATTCAGGAGTTAGAGACATGAGGATTACGAGCTTGAGGCCAAATTAGGCTATAAAGTGAGACTTTCTCAGGAAAAAAGACAAAATGTTAAAGAAGACTACAATAACTATTTTTGTTAATGAAATTTCTCAAAGCAAATTCTTATAGTAACTGTTGTATGTGAGTGCTGTCATCCTGTAGTAGCTGTTGTATGTGTTACCCTGTAGTAGCTGTTGTGAGTGTTGTGATCTTGAAGTAACTGTTGTATATGTGTTGTGATTTAGGAAAGGAGCCCTCTATAGTTTATAAAGTACCAGCATAGAACTTAGAGGTTTCAGTAGAAGAAAATGTGGCAGTCAAAGTAAGCAAAGTTCACGTAGAAACTAAGTGCCTCTGTTGAACGTGATAGAAAATTGTGAACTTGCAGAAGAGCATTTCGTAACATTCGGGTGCTCCGCGTGTGTTCTGCTCACTGCATTATGTCGGTGTAGTGTCAACACAGATGGTAAGGTTTTTTTAAATTATTGTTTTCATTCATGTTTAGGATTATCTTTAAAAAATAAGGACATCTGGGGCTGGGAAGGTGGCTCAGTGGTAGAGCGCTCGCCTCGCATGCATGAGGCCCTGGGTTCGATTCCCCAGCACCACATAAGCAAAAAGAAAAAAGCCAGAAGTGGTCCTGTGGCTCAAGTGGTAGAGCGCTAGCCTTGAGCTGAAGAGCTGAGGGACAGCGCCCAGGCCCAGAGTTCAGGCCCCACGACCAGACCCCCAAAAAAAAAAGACATCTAAAAACCATAGTCATGTACTGTTGCCACTTTTACCTTTCATATTAAAATCTAGCAAATGTTCAGATTTTAGTTGTCTCAAATGCCATATATATATATATATGTATATATATATATACATATTCATATATATATATATATACATTTTTTGCCAATACCAGGGCTTGGACTCAGGGGCTTTACACTCATTGTCTTGCTTACTCCTGGCACACTACTATTTGTACCATCTCTCCAGCCAGGCTTTTTTTTGTTGGCTAATTGGAGGTGGACTTTGAGGCCTTTTCTGCCCAGGCTGGCTCTGAGCTGTGATCCTCTAGGTCTCAGCCTCCTAACTAGCTGGGATTACAGGCATGAACCACCATCACTCAGTTCATGAAAAGAACTTTGATAAATCTGTTGGAGTCACAATCCAAAATATGATCCTGCATCCCTTTCAGCTGTTGGGTTTGTTCTACAGCTGTCAGTCTCCTCTCCCGGGTTTGTTGCAAACAGCCGGCTAGTTTGGTAGTGAGGCTTTGGTTGATTGCCTCACCGTGACATACGTTTCTATTTTGTGTGTGTGTGTCTCCTGCACATTGGTAGTTGCATCTTCATGCTTGGAGTGGGACAATAAAACCCCTTCTCAGTGATGCTGGGCACTCCCCAGAGGCCCTGTCCTAGAGCGGTAGCAGTCGCCGGTGATCTGCACTCAGCCTCACCAGTTGGGTTGTGCAGAGAAATGGTGCTCTAATGCTGCACTTCTCTGTTTATTATGTAACGTACTCACAGAAAAAGCAACTTGTCAGTTCTTCCCCTTTGAGCTATAATTCATATCAGATAGTGGGGATATTGGAGCCTTTTTAATTTTATTGTATTGCCAGTATTGGGGTTTAAACTCAGCCTTGTGCTTGCTCAGCTTGTTTGCTTGGCTGGTACTCTACTACTTGAGCCATGTCTCCAAATTGGTTTTTTGCTGGTTCTTTTGGGGATGGAGTCTTAAACTTGGTGATAGTCTCAAGCCTTGGTCTTCCAGGTTTGAACTTTCTGAGTAGCTAGGATTACAGGCATGAGCTCCTGGCATCCAGATGAGTCTTTTTTTAAATCAAGTATCAAGACTTGGTTTCTCAGCATCTTCCAGTGGTGATGCAAGTGTTGGAATTTACTCATTGCCCTAAGCATTTTACAGACTTTTTAAGAGAAGTAGGGTTGCGGCCCCTGGCTTCTTGTGTGAAGGCAGTTAAAACGCTTGGCTTCGCCACCACAGACCCTCTTGAGAAGAACTGTGACCAATCCACATGGAGGCGAGGGTTCCTTTAACAGAGTCCTCAGGGCCAGTTGTGCTTTTCTTTTCTCCCGGCCTCTTATTTGCTGTGATTTAAGACTACAGAAAACATGTTTCCATGAATGGCAGTACTCTGTTATCATGCCTCTGTGTTCCTAGCTGGGATGCCCGTGGCCCAGCCTAGCCCCCTGCCCGTGGTGCTGCCGTACATCAAAGCTGAGAGCTTCCTTACCACAGCCCTGGAGTTAAGGAGGGGCTCGCCTTGCTCTAACCAGGCATGCATATTGTCCTTGTCTGCCCTGGGCCCATCCTGCTCCTCACTCATGTCCTCTTGTTGGGGCTCTCTGGACTCCTCAAGCTCAGCCCTCCTTGCCTATTGTGATGCCTTTGAAGAGGCTGGCTCCACTGCTCTGTGCACCGGCTCTCTGTGTAGGTCTCTTGATGTGCTCTCGTGATCTGTTGGAGTTAGCGATACAACCGTGTTGACTTGCAGTCCTAGCAGAGGTGGTACCCGTGTGCTTCCTATGGTGGAAACGCTCTTCCCTTATAGTAAGTGGCTATCCTGAGCCAGATCATCTAAGATAGTGTGCAAAGTGGGGCCCCCAAGCACACCCTTAGAATCAGTCATTCTCTAGAATCCATAGAGCTCACCAAAGCTGTTGTACTTGGCTTGCTGCAGTGAAGGGACACAGACTGAAGCCATCTTGGGAAAGGGCTTTGGGCCAGATCCTCCAAGCTCAAAGCTTCCCAGTGGTCCTCTCCTGGCCGTGCATACAGTGTGCTGGTACACAGGACCGCCAGCTGGGAGACCTGCCTGCAGCGAGCTGTCCAGTGCTCAGCGGGATCCGTTGTGTGATCAGGGCTTTGCACTGTGCACTTCCTGTGCACTCTTGGCATTGGCTGTCTAGTGTGGCCCCAGGGAAACAAAGACATTCTTACGAGGCAGGTGTACCAAGGTCCTTTCAGTCACCTGCTCTTAGGGGTCCGTGGGGCACTGCACATACCCCATTTCTCTTTAAACTTCCTACTGAGATCTAATACAACAGTGGGTTTTGTTGTGGTGTTACCATCCTGTTCTGCTGATGACTTTCTCTTCCTCTCATTTTCAGGCACTTAATATTAATTAGAATTCTTCTTTATGAAGAGCTGGCTCTACCTTCCTACTTATTATACACTCTATTAGTGTTAGTATGAACTCAGAGGTATTCTTGTTACTCTTCAGATTGTAATCAATACTTTATTAGCATTTATTTCATAGTGTCCAGTGGCTTTTGTCTGTGTTCTTGTCTTGGCTTGCCTTTTTTCTTTTCTTTTTTTTAATACTTTCTTCCTGGCACCCCCCAGCTCACCTTATATTTGTCCTGCCCAGATAGTATCAGCCACTTCTCCAGAGGACTCTGGTTACTTTCTTGGAGAATGGCATTCAGGTCAGGATATGAATCCTTAGATGTGCTCCGCACCGCCCACCTCCCCTGCACAGTGCTGCCAGTGGTCGAGGCTGTAGTTACCCGGACTAACCCACAAGCTGAGTCTGTTAATGCATTGCACTTAGTAAAATATATTCATCTAAGTGGGCTGAAATAAGACTGTTAGCAGCTTCTTATCAGTTTTGTTGCTAAATGTTGGTCCCAAATTTAGGGGGAAGTTTTAGTTTTTGGAGGTCCTTGAATTTCGAGATTGTGAGTGGACTGTACAGTCAGTCGAGAGCAGGAGTCGCACAGTGAAATTGCATTGTTGGTGGAATGCAGCCATCAGCACAGGCAAGACTTCATTCCTGCATGTGTTCACCTGCGGTGCTGCTGTGGCGCGCCCATGGTGAGTGCAGGAATGAGAGGCTACTGGCTGCTGCATCTCACATAGAGCTCCACTCATCAGAATAACTCATCTTCATAAGAATGCTCCCATTTATTCTTTAAATTGCCATCAAAAGGACTTCTAAAACAAATGATACCCACTTCAGAACTATAAATGGCTGTGGCATATCGTAACGCTCACCAAAAGGGGCAGTTAGCAGCAAGACACACTGAAACAGAAACCTGAGGATATGCATGTCACTGTGAACACAAAGGCCGAGAGTCCAGAACGCGGTATGTCAAAAAGCCAAATCCCAAGTGCATGCTGCTGTCCGGAAGAGCTGGGCCTTGTATGGAAATACCGGGGAAGACTAATGGTAAAGCAGAACAAACCCTGGTTTACATTAACATGAAAAGTTGTAGAATTCAAGGAATTGGGCAGTGAAGATTCTCCCTGTTTGGGTTGTTCATGTGTAATCACAGCTGAGCTCCAAGACCCATGATTGTATGAATGTTC